TGGTACCAGTTGAGACCTGATTTGTGACCCAGTATGTGAACCATTCTGGAGAATGTTCCATGTGTACTTGAAAAGAATGTGCATTTTCTTGCTTTAGGAAGAAATGCTCTGTATATTATCTGTGAAGTCCATCTGGTCCAATGTGTCATTCAAAGCCCTTGTTTTCTTCTTGATATTCTGCTTAGATGATCTGTCCATTGCTATGAGTGGGGTGTTGAACTCCCCTACTATTACTGTGTTATCAATGTGTTTAATTTGGTTATTAATTGGTTTATATAATTGTCTGCTCCCAAGGTAGGAGAATATTTATAATCGTTATATCTTCTTGTTGGATAGGCAGTTTAAGTGTGATATAGAGTCCTTCTTCATCTCTTTGGTTTAAAATCTAATTTGTCTGATATGAGGACTGCTACCCTAGCTTTCTTTCGATGTCCATTAGCATGATAAATGGTTCTCCATCCTCTCACTATCAATTGGGAGGTGTCTTTAGGTCTAAAATGAGTCTCTTGTAGATAGCATATGGATAGCTCTTTTTTTTTTTTTAAAGATTTTATTTATTTATTTGACAGAGAGAGATCACAAGTAGACCGAGAGGCAGGCAGAGAGAGAGGAAGGGAAGCAGGCTCCCTGCTGAGCAGAGAGCCCGATGCGGGACTCAATCCCAGGACCCTGAGATCATGACCTGAGCCGAAGGCAGCAGCTTAACCCACTGAGCCACTCAGGCGCCCGGCTCTTGCTTTAATTCAATCTAATACAATGTGTCTTCTGTTCACAGCATTTAGCCCAATTACATTCAGTAACTATCAAAAGATAATGAATTCAGTGCCACTGTATTACCTGTAAAGTCCCTGTTTCTGTAGATTGTCTCTGTTTCTTTCTGGTCCATGTTACTTTTGGGCTCTCTCTTTGCTTACAGGATCCCTTTTAATATTTCTTGCAGGGCTGGTTTAGTAATCACAAATTCTTTTAGTTTGTTTGTCCTAAAAGCTCTTTATCTCTCCTTCCATTCTGAATGACAACCTTGCTGGATAAAGTATTCCTGGCTGCATGTTTTTCTCATTTAGCACCTTGAATGTATCATGCCAACCCCTTCTGGCCTGCCAGGTCTCTGTGGGTAGGTCTGCTGCCAGTTTAATATTCCTACTCCTGTAGGTTAAGAACCTCTTGTCTGGAGCTGCTTTCAAGATTTTCTCTTTATCGCTGAAGTTTGCAAGCTTCACTAATGCATGTTGGGATGACGATCTATTTTTATTAATTTTGGAGGGATTTTCTACCTCTTAGATTTGAATGCCTGTTTCCTTCCCCATATTAGCTAAGTTCTCAGCTACAATTTACTCAAATATACTTTCTGTCCCTCTCTATTCTTCCTCTGGGACCCCAATAATCCTAATATTGTTTTGCTTTATGGTTTTGCTGATTTCTCAAAGCCTCCCCTCATGGTCCATTAGTTGTTTTTCTCTTCTGCTCAGCTTCCTTCCTTTCATCTTGTTTTCTATGTCACTGACTCTCTCTTCTGCCTCATTTGCCCAAACTGTTAGAGCATCCATTTTTAGACTGCATCTCAGTTAAAGCATTTTTTAAAAAAGATTTTATTTATTTATTTGACAGAGAGAGAGAGACAGTGAGAGAGGGGATACAAGCAGGGGAAGCGGGAGAGGGTGAAGCAGGCTTCCCACTAAGCAGGTATCCTGAGGCGGGGCTTGATCCCAGGACGCTGGGATCACGACCTGAGCTGAGGGCAGATGCTTAACGAATGAGTCACCCAGGTGCCCCTCAGTTAAAGTATTTTTAATTTCAACCTGATTAGATCTCAGTTCTGCACTAAGAGATTCTCTAGAGCTTTTTATGCTTTTTTCAAACCTAGCTATTAACTTTATAATTGATATCCTGAATTTCATCTCTGATATCTTACTTATATCAATACTGCTTAGATCTGTGGCAGAGTATTACCTCTGGTTCTTTCTTTTGTTGTGAATTTCTCCTTCTAGTCATTTTACCCAGAGAAGAATGAATGAGTGAGAGAACAAAATCAAAAATATCAACCACAACCCAAGACAAATACACACTAGAAAAGTCTGAAAAGGTCAGAAACCAAAAAAGAAAAGAAAAAGGAAAAAAAAGAAAACAGAGCAATCCACTTGGTCCTGGGTGTATTTTGTCTGTTTGTTAGAAGACACTAAATCCCAAAATTGTAAAGAACGCAAAACATATATATACAAAAATAAAACTTAATACAGTGAAAGGAAGCAAAAAAGGAAGACTATATTTATAAAAGGTAAATGTAAAAATTAAAAAAAAAAAAAAAGACTTAAAAACAAAGAGTTGCTCCAATAAGAAACTAGTTGAGAAGGAAAAAAAAGAAAAGGAAAATTTTAAACTGAAAAATAAACGAATCATGAGGAAAGAAACCCTTGAATTCTATATACTATTTTCCCCATCCCTGGAGTTTGGCAGTTCTGTGTGCTCTGTAAACTTGGCATCTGCCTGATGTTCCAGTTGATCTTCTGGGGGAAGGGCCTGCCGCCCAGATTCTCAGGTATCTTTGCTTGGGGAGAGTTGCACTGCCCCTTGCCAGGGCGTGGGCTCTGAGTAAGCTGTTTCCAGTTGCTCTATGTGGTTTTTGTTCCTGAAAGGCTTTCTGTGCCACTCTAGATGAGAAAAAAAAAGGGTCGATCTCCCAGCACTGGAGCTGAAAGACTGCAGTCCCTCTCCCTTTAAGGAAACCCTAAGGGAAGAGCAGTCTACATTTTTGTGTGTACCAAACTCTGCAGGCTCCTGCGGCTTGCACACCCACCAATTCTCCCAGGGAGGGAGGAAGGTTGCTCTAAGCCTGCTGCATGCAGGGCCCCCACATGGGCAGCAATACTTTTTTTTCCTAAAAAATGTTATCATTTTAGCTTTTCCATTTAGTCTCGGCTCCATCTCAAATTGGTTTTAGTGAATAATGTGACATAAAGCTTGAGGATCCTTTTTCTTTCTACACCAGAGGGCCTTTGTTCCAGTACCAATTGGCTGAAAAGGCCTTCCTTTCTCCAAAGAATTGGTCTGGTGCCTTCACTGAAAATCATTTGACCATATCTGTACGGGTTCCTTTCTGGATTTTCCACTCTTAGGCCAATACTGTCTGGATAACTGTGGCTTTCTATTAAAAGTCTTGCTATAAGGTGGGTAAGTTGCCCAGTTTTGTTATCTTTTTCAAAACTGTTTTAGCTAGATTGCACTTCCCTACAGATTTTAGAATCAAATTTGTCAGTTTCTACAAAAAAAAAAAAAAAAAAAAAAAAAAAAAAAGTCTGTTGGGATTCTGATTGGGATTGCACTGAGTCTATAGGTACTTTTGGGGAGAACTGGAACCCTAACATGAGTATCCTAATATGAGTCTTCCAACCTATGAACATGATTTTGCATACTTTTCAATAAATCTTTCCCAAAGTATTTCATGGTTTTTTATGTTATTCTATTTGGAGATTCTGTAGGTTTTTCTAATATAGCCACATATGTAGCTGCAGTCATACCTGTGAACAAAGATAGCAGTCTTCAACCTTTATGCCTCCTTTTTCTTCCCTATTGTGCTGGCTACAAGGTCCAGCATGCTGAATTGAAGTGGTAAAAGCAAACACTCTTGTACCATTGCTGATTTTGGGGAAAGTATTTGCTATTTCACAGTTAAGGATGATGCTGAGAACAACTATTTCTAGCTTGCTGAGATTTTTTTTAAAAACCATGAATGATAAATGCAAACATAATGGAACCTATCTGCATCTATTAAGAGAATCATGATTTTTCGCCTTTACTGTGCTAAAGTGGTGATATTACAGTGACTGATTTTTCTACGTTAAACCCACTCTGCATTCCCACTCTACTTGATCATATGTGTTACCCTTCTTATATGCTGTTCTCTGTAATTTGCTAAGATTTTTTGAGGACTTTGGGAATCTGTGTTTATGATGGATATTGGCCTTTAATGTCCTTTTCTGGCAATGCTCTTATTTGGTTTTGCTGTTAGGGTTATGTTTGCCTTAAAAACTGAATTGGGAAGCATTCCCTCTTTCTCTGTTTTCTCCAAGAGTATGTGTAGGATTGGTGTTATTTCTTCCTAAGCGCTAGAGAGAATTCACCAATGAAGCCATTTCAATCTGGAGTTCTGTGGGAAAGTTTCTGATAATAATTTAATTTCTTTGATAGATGTAGGAACATTCATATATTCTATTTCATTCTGTTTCAGTTTTGGCAAGTTGTGTTTCTCAAGGAATTTTTCCATTTCCTCTAAATTGTTGAATTTATTGGTATAGAGTTATGAGTAATTTATTCTCTTAGTGTCCTTTTGATTGCAGTAGGATCTGCAGTGACAATTCTTCTTTCATTCCTGCTATTGGTAACTTGTGCTCATTTTCTTCCTGATCAATCTTGTTAGGAATTTATCTTCTTTTTTTTTTTCTTTCAAAAAAACAACTTTTAGCTTTATTAATTTCCTTGATTTCATTTTCTATTGCATTGATTTCTGCATTTATTATTTCCTGTCTTCTACTTTCTTTAGGTTTCATTTGCTTACCTTTTTCTAACTTCTAATGTGGAAACTTAGAACCCTGACAGTGAATCTCTCTCTTCCTTTCTTATATAAGCATTACAACTAAATTTATGTAGGTTTTAAGCAATGTGTTCCTTGAGGTGAAGCTCAAAATAGCCTGAGAGGGAAATGACAGGAGATACTTCTTAACTAATCATTGCCAAGTTTTCCGAGAATTGGTAGAGATAAGAAAAGGAGTTCAGGATATTCCTCAGAGATAACAAACTTGGGAAATGAAGACAACTTTGGAAGAAAGATTTACAGTTGCTTACGAAATCGGTGCCAAGGACAAGCTTGGCAAGAGATTAACTTTTTTTACAGTTTGTCAAACCCCTCAGATCACATAGTATTATTTCATCAGGAATTGTAAAGAATTTCCCAGCCTTGGGTCCTAGAGCCATATTATAAAATAAGAATAAAACTTGCACTGTACCTTTTCTAAATTTGGGCTTTATTTTTGAGGGTTCTTCCTGTGATTTGCCTCCATCTTGAATGGGGAGTACCATGTAGCACATCAAATCAAGGACTTTTTCACATGTCATCTAAAGAAGATCAGATGAAAAGGTACCAATCTGAAATTTTCTCATTGAAAGCAAATCAACAGAACACTAATGTATGTGTAGCAGACGACTGGGCAACGTGTGCATATGGAAGTCTGTAGCACTATCTCAAGACTCTGCGAGACCATTACCGTTTGCTCAACAGCAAAAATGTAGAAAAAGTAACTGAGATTGAATCGAGGTACTAGACTTTTGGGGGAATAATAACTCCTTTGCTGTTAAAACAAAAAAACAAAAATGAAAAATCAGTCAAGTATTAACTAAATCCCCAATGCGTTTAATAGCACAGTGGCATCCAAAAGAAGTAGGCCCATCTTAAAGACATTTACTAACTCACTGAATAGAAAAATCAACAAAATGGGACACAGAGTACTGAAATACTCTGTATTAGATATACAGCATAATGTAAAATGAAAGAGAAACAAGGTAGGAAGATTTTCCTTATCTCAGCCTTAAAGGGAGGGAAGAATTTGGAATGTGGAAAAGAGAAAAAAGGGTTTTAGTGGAGAAGAGAAAGATGTGGGGAAGGGCTGGGTATTGTTTAGGTGATTAGGTGAGGGGAAGGAGGGCGTGGTTTAGGAAATAACACAGACAAAACCAGTCTGATGTAGTGCTGGTGGCTGAGGGAGGCCTCAAGTGCCACACTGGCGTTGGGGGGGGTATTGCTCTCGATCTATAGTGAGTGAGCCATCATCTATAGTCTACCTGTTCTAGTAACAGGTAGATTCCATTTGGGGAACATGTTCTATGCATTTAGCACAACCTTCTTATTATCCCCATTTTACAGATGAGGAAGTGGAGTGTTAAACCCATGCTTCCCACCCTTTTCCATGTCTTGACGCATCCAGAAATATTTGTAAGGCTGCTCAGAGCTGGCAGCACTAAACTGGGGGCTTTGGCTGCCTCAAGCCACAGCTAACTGAGAGGGTTGGTATCTTGGCACATACAGAACCCACCCAGGGCCACAGGGTTGTGAATCTCCAGCTTGAAGAGCTCGACAGCTTGGTAGTTCAGAACTTGAATGCTGGAGTTAGACAGTTTGGTGAGGTAACTTGACCCAGGTCATAGAGCTAAGAGGTGGTGGGGCCATGATGTGGACTGCAGAGTCATATGTCCACCTCCAGCCAATATCTTCCGTAAATCCTTCCTTGACTACATGGACCCCGGTGAAAACACCCTTTCCCGAATGCCTACTGTGCATATGTCAGGGCATACCACTTAGTATTTGATTTTTCACTGTCTTCAATAGATACTTGCACTTTTCTCTGTAACTCAAATTATATGTCCTGAATCAGGGATCCCCCATTCCCCATACCCTGCTTATATGCCCACCCCCAGCACATAGTTCAATTCTGGACACTGAGGAAGTTAGTATTTCTGTTAAGGGGAACAATGACAGCAATCTCTTGAAAGCAATGACCATAGCTCAAAGATGGAAGAAGAACTGGGGCAAAAAACTCAGTTCAGAGCAAGGATTAGAGTGGTGGCCAAGGAAACAAAAGGCACTATACCAAAGATATTAGCTTCATGCTGGAAGAATCAAAATGATTAGGCAGAGTAAGAGCCAACCATGACCTGAGAATTTTATACCTAATGACCAGAGAATGAAGGAAACTCACATCTGTACATGCTGGGTCTGAGCTGAAGACAGACAGCTGAAGGCAGCTGAGATCCAGGAGGCAGGTTAAGTTAGAAACCAAGGATATAGGCCTAACAGTGATCAGCTTTGACTGAAGCCCTCAAAGAGAATGCGTCTGCCCAGCTTATTTAAATCTGTTTATTTTATATTCTCTAATATGATGCTGAACAGCAGTGCCTTGTGTAACTCTCTAATTCTACATGATATATGGATATCTGAGTGGGTAAATATGTGTTCTCTTTCAAGTTCTCAGGGAATTCACTGAAACTTAGAATTAGTACCTGATAATTACATAATGATGGAAGAAAAATATTTTCAATTTTCAGGGCACATACTTAACATGCTATCTGTTTCCTCCTAATTATCATCATGGCAAATTATAAATCATATTTCAAAGTTCAAGTTCAAAAACTTTATTCAGGGTTACTAATCACAAAGTAATCAACTTAACACATAGAAAGATGAGAAAGAAATCAGAGTTTGTGTGTTCAGCTGTGACCTTGAATTTATACAATATAAAGAATAAAGGATGTGCTTATCATTTTAATTGAATTCAAACATTTATTAATAATTGAATTCAAAGCTGTGCCGACCTCTGTGGTCAGTGCTATGAGAGATTCAAAGGTAAAGCACATGGTCTGCGCCCTGCGGTAGGAGGGGCTCACAATCACAAGGAAGCAGGCTTGTGTATGTAGCTGCTCCGCAGCACCATGAGGTGGACTGCAGAGTCGTATGTCTCTGCATGCTTCGAGAGCAGCAGGAAGGCACAGAGGGAGAGAGAGTCTTACCCAGACTCCGTGCTGAACACAGTCCCGGTGCAGAGCTTGACCTCACAACCTGGAGATCATGACCTGAGCTGAAACCAAGAGTCAAGACACGTAACTGACACCCCAACTCTGGAGACTCAGGGCATCTGATGCTCAGAGAAGCTAATGGCACTCCTCCATTTCCCACTCAGTAAATGCTTCTTCTGTCCAAGTACAATAGCACTGATTCTGCTCTGAAGGGATTCCAGGTAAAAAAGTAAAGAAAAATAGAAGCCATCCTCCAACAAAATGGAAAAAGGAATAGGAAATCTGAAAAGTAGCGCAGCCTAACTTCAGGGAAGCTGTAACTAAAGAGAAAACTAAGTAAAACAAAATTATCAAGACTTTTACTAGCAGATTAGGTGACAAAATCTAGGCAGAAAAAAATCCGATCTCAAATAAACATGCACTGAATTAAAAGGCCACTCTAGGAAAAGAGGAAGCCCTGTGCACACTACTCACTCTGTACTCCCCCAGAGCAAAGTGGCAGGTTGCGAGCTGGATGAGTGCCCTCTGATGTTCCAGGGTCCCCTGTCCTGTGATCTGCGGCTGCGGAAGCGATCCCTGGAGAGCTGCGAGATGATGCAGACTCGCTATTGCTTTTTTATATTGACCCTAAGAAAGACGTAACAGCAAAGAAGTGAAAAACATTGCCGTTAAAAAAAGTCTCCAGGGCGTGCTGGGGTGGCTCAGTCATTAAGTGTCTGACTTCAGCTCAGGTCATGATCCTGGGGTCCTGGGATTGAGCCCCAGATCAGGCTCCCTGCTCAGTGGGAAGCTTGCCTCACCCTCTCCCACTCCCCCTGCTTGTGTTCCCTCTTTTGTGCTCTATCAAAAAAATAATTAAAATCTTTACAAAAAAAGTGTCTCCAGAGTTGGGGTGCCACAGTCAGTTAAGTGTCTGACTCTTGGTTTCAGCTCAGGTTGTGATCTCTGGGTTGTGAGGTCACGCTCTGCACTGGGACTGTGTTCAGCACAGAGTCTGCTTAAGACTCTCTCTCCCTCTCCCCCTTCCCACCGCTCTCAAATTAGTAAATAAATAAAAATCACCAGAGTTAATTAAGCATACAGATAAGGTAGCTCTGTTTGATCATCTGAGGAGGAAAAAGGAGACTTAGCAATAATCAAACCCACTTATTTAAAGCTAGGTGGAGGGTTCTCTACACAGGTACTTTATATGTACAAAGATTTTTCTTTCCAGTCTTAATTTTTTTTTTTTTTTTAAGTTTATTTATTTTTTGGTCATCTCTACACCCAATATGGGGTTTGAACTCATGACCCTGAGATGAAGAGTCACGTGTTCTACCGACAGGTCTAGCCAGGCACCCTGGGTCTTAAGTCCTAAGACTAAAGAAAATAATAAGCTTTTGGATAAAATACAATTTTGGATATACCATTTCTTACAAATATTTTACTAATAATACCCTTTCTCCTTTATGTAGGATGGAAGCAGCAACCTATCTGTTCCGACAACAGAGGTTAGAAGCTCTCCATCTTCTTAGGGAATTATTAGCTCTCTCCATTCCAGGCCTAAGTGGCTCGAGAACAGGAGAGCAGAGCAGAAGGACTTCACCACAGTGGAGAGAACGACGGGTGAGAAGTATGCATCTCTTATTGGAAAGTAAAGATCTTACTTTTACAGAGGGGTATGGCTGGACATAGTGAAAGTAACAAGAAGATGTGGCCTTGTCATTTTCTTTTTTTTTTTTGAGATGAAAGGGGACCATCATCCCTCTGCCACTGAAGACAGAACACGTCTTCAGGGTATGACTAGTCTACAGAAGGAACATACACATCTTGCACGCTATGGTCGGTTCATGAAAATCATCATCCTATACACACTCAGGAACTTAAAATATACATAACCTACCTGATAGATGATCATGTCAGTGAGGAAGATTCTTAACCAAAGCCAAGTATCTGTCTTCCACGCCAAACAAATCCTTGTAAATTCTGAGAATTCAAAAGTAAATTTACCAAAAAATGCGTTAACAGAAGCAGAAAAAAAACAAACCCAGCAAAACAATGGAGAGAAACTTCCAAAAAATGGACAGTAACTATCGACCTTTAGATCATTTCTAAAACAATGATCTAGAATTTCAATTAGATAGTAAAGTTAGAATATAATACTTTTCAGTAACCCATAAGCAGTATTTTTATTAGGCCTCAACATTTACGAAGCACATACCATATCCCAAGAGCTGTTCAAAGTGTTTTCCACATATTACCTCATTTATCTTGTAAATTACTTTACTCTCCTCAGAAAAAGATAGTTTTATTTTCAGCCAGCTCGGAAAACAAAGATAAAAAGCTAAGAGTTTTACTCATTTTTTTAAAAAGCCAAGTTATAACGGGCGCCTGGGTGGCTCAGTGGGTTAAAGCCTCTGCCTTCGGCTCAGGTCATGATCCCAGTGTCCTGGGATCGAGCCCCGCATCAGGCTCTCTACTCAGCCGGGAGCCTGCTTCCTCCTCTCTCTCTGCCTGCTTCTCTGCCTACTCGTGATCTCTGTCTGCCAAATAAATAAATAAAATCTTAAAAAAAAAAAAAAAAAAAAAGCCAAGTTATAACAAAAGGAAAACTACCCCCCACCCCGAAAGGTCACATACATGTTTACAATTCTAGATGTGACCGGGACAGAGGGAGTGAGGCTCTTTCTACCTAGAAAAAATGACATGACACACCTGACCGAGGGTTGTGCATAGGTACGTGATGGCAGGCCAAGGGATGAAGGCCCACTGGCCAGAAGTACAGTAAAAAATACACTGTTGATTCAAAGTAGAGTAAAAATCCATAGCTTAGCAACGCACTAGTGATTTCTAAGTAATGAAGAAATACTTAATAGTTGTATTCTCAAAGGAAAACAGGCTTTGGGTAGGGTGAGTTTTTCAGGCAATGGAGTTAACGCAGATAAAAATAGCATTACCTTTTGTAAGATTAGCTACACAGGACCTAAGAAAGATACAAGGCAGGACAGAACCACTAACAGCACAAAACAAACCCAGCAAGAAAAAGAAAGGAGGCCAGCAATACGAATGTTAAAAGACCAAAAATCTCTCCCTCAAACTCCACCCCAAGTCTAATTATAATAAACACTCAAGGGTAGGGGCACCTGGGTGGCTCAGATGGTTGGGCGTCTGCTTTCGGCTCAGGCCATGATCCTGGGGTTCTGGGATCAAGTCCCGCGTCAGGCTCCCTCCTCAGTGGGGAGCCTGCTTCTTCCTCTGACTGACTGACTCTCTCTCTCTCCCCCGCTCTCTCTCTGCCTCTCATGAATAAATAAATATTAAAAAAAAAAAAAACACTCAAGGGTAGAAGCTAAGACGTAAATGATCATTTGAATATTTTTTGATCATTTCAATATTAATAATGCCAAGAGTTTTACTCATTTTTTAAAAAAGTCAAATAAGTCTACTCAAAAAAGAATCCTATTAACTGTGTGAACTACTATAAGCAATTAAGCTCTAAGTGTCTTGATGTTCCAAGAGGAACAACGCTTTCTTAAGCACAATGATTTTATATAACACATGAAATAGCACTAATGTGACAAGCATGTTCTTACCCTTGTCAAGGAATTCTAGGGAGTAGAGCAACTCCCAGCTCTCCCTGGCTAGCTTAAAGCTCTCGAGCACTTCAATGGAGTTAGCAAGCTCCGCTTTATTGACTACGATGTGACGATTTCTCCCTTTTGCTGAACAGTCTTCGTCATCTGAACTCTGCTTAGAAGGTGAACAAGGTGATTAACTTAAAATCGTATACAAGTGACACTTCAACAACACAGGTTAGAACTACACAGATCCGTTGACACATGGATTTTTTACAGTCCAGCACTGTAAATGTATTTCTCTTCCTTAAGATTTTCTTAATAACATTTTCTTTTGTCCAGCTTACTGTGTTGTAAGAATACAGCATATAATACACAGAACATACCAAATATAGGCTCATTAACGTTATTGGTAAGGCTTCTGGTCAAAAGGAGGCTACTAGTAGTTAAGTTTTAGGGGAATCAAAGTTATACAGAGATTTATGACTGTGCAGGATGGGGGGGTTGGCGCCCTACCCCCATGTTGTTCAAGGGTAAACTACTCGGAAATTATGTTTATTATCACCAATTCTGATTACTGTATGGATTTTATATCAAAGGATACTATCATGAGGATAATTTTTTGAACTTAATTATTTGGCTTTAAAAATTAATGCATAAATTTTGTATCTTTTCACTCTCACACATTCAATTTTTACCTTAAAAACTAAACTTATGTTTTTCTGATGATAAATTCTAAGCTTATGTTGGTTTCTAAGTAAAGCTATGGAGTTAAAACTTCCAATAGTTTAAAAAATTTAAGTGTTATTAAAAACCCCAAGTTAGAGTTTTACATTCAGAGATACAGCTTACGTGGCATATGTTTTATAGTTTTTTTTCAATATGTGAAATAACTTAATTTGCTTCCAAATAAGTTTATCATGCAGAGGAATAAAATTAAAGCCCAAATGCCCTAAGAATCGGAGAAATGACTCTTACTAATCTTTTGTTCCCTATACATCCCTCCTCCCACGGCCACCCTCTCTAGCTCCGCTGCCCCATTGCACGGTGGTGGCCAGGAACTATGTTTGCCTGCACTTACCTAGTAATGCCTTCTGTATTTACAATAAAGAGCCCTACTTTTCTTGCTCTTCTTCTCAAGAAATATAAAGCCAAAGAGAGGTCTCAGAGAACTGCAACCATGTAAGTGCCAGTGAGCATGGTCAGACGTTTTGCCAAAAAACAGTCAAGGTAAAACAGCTCCACTTAATTTTACTTTGCTGAGAATTTCTTGACCCTTTTATTCTACCTAGGCTATTTGACTAACTTAATGACCCCAATTCAATTCTCCCTGAAGATTTTCACCCCACTACGCTCATTTGAAAATATGTACAAATATTTCAGCTAAAAGCTCCATTCCTCAAGCTGACCTCAGAAAAAATAAGCACCTCCCTCCCACTACCCAGCAGAATTTCTCCCCCCACTTTCAGAGCCTGGTATTCTCCTGCTAGTCCTTGATGCCTGGGACTCCTCCCTGCCGACTCTACTTAGCTGCCCTATTCTTACCCTCCCACAATAATGACAGATACCCAGATCCCTTTCACAATCAAAACCTATTAGGTATCCTACTTCATCAGGGTCAAGTTCCTTGCCACATGTTGCCAATCTAATAGGATATACTGATATGAATGGGGTATTCTCTGTTCCAATTTTATAGAAAACATTCCTGCCTCAAAACAAGGTTGGGAGTTTATGGAAGGGACCTCAGATGTGAGAATAGTTTCCAAAGAGTTTCTAAAATTTAGAGAAACTGATTTTGAAATGCAGAAGTACACTCTGGAGTTCTGGGCAGATGCTGTAAGCAAGAACCCTGACTACAGGGAACATACACCAAGTATGGGCGGGTGGAGAATGCGTGGCCCACAGGAAAGGATAGTCCCCCAACTCCAGCCACCTGGCACATCACATGAGCCAGGCAATCAGGCTGGGTGGAGAACATATGCCCGTCTGAAGTGGGCAGTCTCCATCTGGCCCCAGCTGTGAGCCAGCATCAGGGTCGAGTGTATCAAATATTCCAATTATTAAGGAAGTCAGACATCTCAACTGTTGTGAGAAATCTCCCAATCTCCAGATGTTCGGTTATTAAAAGAAGCAGAACACCATGGGTAAAATAAGATGTATCTCTAAGCTGAGCTTGACGTCCTCTGCTGTGATGGCTCAGACAGACAGGGCTGGACTTGTAGCAGGTTGGGGGCAGACTGTGGGACACAGGAAAAATCAGTTAATAGAGTAAAAACTAAAATGGATGGAAACCCAGGTTGGGCCAGAGTTTGAGAACAGGGCCTGTTAGATGACCCATGAGAGATGAGACAGAGGAGGAACCAGGGAGCTGGAGGGTTTAAACAGCTATGCCATGGCCTGGTTGCCGAGGCTGAGAGGGAAGAGTGGGAATTCACTCATTCACCAGCTGCAGCTCAAGCACTGTCCAGATGTCCAGGATACAAGACGGACAGTGTCCTTGGCCCCACAGAGCTTGTACAGAGCTCATCAGGAGACGCAGACCGTAAACCAGCCAACGAAGAAACAAGAAAACAGACAACAATAAGGGCGATGCAGAATTAGAGTAACAGAAAGAGAAAAGAAAACTAGATGGGTATTTCGAGGAGGCCTCAGAGGGAGAAATGTCCGGGCTGAGAGCTGTGACAAGGACACAGCCTGGCAGAGAGATGTACTCCGACCTTAGGGCACAGCTTGGGGGTAGAGATCCAGGGGCAGAAAGGGGCTCAGAGCACTGGAGGTGCACAGAGAGGCCAGCATGTCTGCGGCGCACAAAGGTTTGCTCAGTAGCGGTTTGAAGCAACGGTGAAGAGCTTGGATTTCATTCTCAGCACGATGGGAAGCCACTAGAGGTGGTAAAGCAGGGGAGTGAGTCTGACTCAGATTTTAAAAACATCACTACAGCTGCTGGGTAGAGAAGAGACAGTAGGGAGCAAGAGTGCATGAAGGGAGACAAGAGGACACCCCCGATGACGTATGTAAGACTGGAGTGGCTTGGACAGGGAGCAGGTGGCGGGGACGGAGAGAAACAGACTGAGGAAGCCACGTTATTTATACTGACTTATATGGGACATGGCACTGTTTTTAGTTAAAACTAGTATCAGACGACTCATTATCCATATGGCAGGAAGGATGACTGTGGTCTTAGTGTGAAGTGCCCGTTAAACCACACACTCACAGAAACCAGAAGGGAGAGCTAACGAGTGACCCCACCAGGACAGTCAGGAGAGAAGGAGAGAGTAGCTACCTAGCAGCCTTAGTGATCTTTTTAAAAAATGAATCAGAGGGCATCTGGGAAAGCCTGGTTAGCAGAGTTCCGAACCTAGGGCTCATGGCCGGATTTCAAAGCATCTTTCAACCTTGGAAATGATTTCCGAAATTGTGCATGTGTGGGTTTTTCTTTGGGAGGAAACAAATGAGTTTATCAGAAGGTTTAATAACCTTACAAGCCTTCAGAAAGGCTTTGTCGTCCCTGCTCCATTCTTTATCATACAGTCCAGTTTACAGAGACATCAGATTGAACTGATTTTAAGGCACATCTCTCCTCATGCCTGGGGCTAGTAAGTATAACTCAGGGTCTGAAGAAGTGGTAGGAGAGGAGAAGGGACAGAAGGAGGGTGAGACTCTAGGCTCCCCTGCAGTATTTCACCTGGAGCATGGGTTAGCAAACTACGATCTGCAGACCAGATCCTATTTTCATAAATAAAGTTTTATTGGAACATAGCCACCTCATTTGTTTACTATTGTCTATGGTTTGTTTGTTTTGTATTGTAACAGCAGAGCTGAGTAGCTGCAACAGAGACTGTTGGGCCTGTAGAGTCTACACTATTTATTTCCTGGCCCTTCACAGAAAAAGTTTGCTGACTCCTGACCTAGAGCACCTCCGCTGTCATATTGTTACAAACTGGGCCTCCATGAAAGCATTCACTGAAAGGTTCTTCTGCTTTAATATAAGTTTAGAAATCACTATTCTGCCCAGACCTGCTCCCTGGCCCCCTCAGAAGACCAATGGGTCTTCACATTCTCTGGCCTCCCACATCTTTGTGCAGACTGTCTTCTCTTCACAAAATCCACCCTCCAACTCTAATGACAAAACCCTCTCCTCTATCTAGGTACTTCAAAGCTGATTTCAAATGCTGACCTCCTTCATGAAACCTCTGCAACGTCTCCCCTTGGCTTGTAACAACTTCCCAGCCGGACCACCTCACCCTTTCCATTTTGAGGCCAGGACTAAGCACAGCACCCTGTCTAGATGTTCAGTGTAGTTCATCTAGCTTTGCTTTTTACCTTTAATTGATGCCATTCAGTCACAACAGGTAGGACTAATTTATACCAGGGTTTCTCAACATTGGCCTTTTGAGCCAGACAGCACTTTGTGGTGGGACTGTCCCGTGCCTTGTAGCACTATTTGCAGCATCCCCGCCTCTACAGGGCAGGTGCTCACAGCAACTCCTCCCCAAGCCGTGGAAATCAAAAAGTGTCCTCAGACATTGCCACGTGTCCCTGGGTTGAGGGGTGAGGGGGCAAAATCACCTCCAGTTGAGAACCGCTGATTTAAACAGAAATTTTAATTAAAAGACCTAAGCTTTATCAATTTAGCTCCAAAGCTGTCTTTTACATTCATTTCCAGCAAACCACAAACATATAATCTGTTAATAAACATATCTGAAAGGATTACCATGGTTTTTTCTCTTCCCTCAGCTAGTTTCCTCTTTTTATGTATATGTTTGTTACGATCAATTTCTACATCACCATACACATTTGATACATCCTCAAGAAGAACCAGTGGAACTTGGCTTGGGGCATTAGGACCTATGGATGGGGGGAAAACACCAACACTTAGAAATGCGGCAAGGAAAAGAAAACTTAGTATGCAAGGAAAAGAAAACTTAGTATCAGGTGGAAGTTTACTCAGCTGTTGTTTGAAAATACAGGTGTAAAAAGTATGTTCGGAGTGATCCCAGTTAGGTAGACAAACAAATATACATGAATAGGGGCTATACAGATATACAACACATTATTAATAAAGGTTCTCTCTCAATAACAGATTACAAATGCTTCTTACGTGTCTACAAATTTTTCATAGTAATCATGAATCATAAAATTAGCCAAAAACTCAAGACTATGAAGTTATATGTGTAATACCTGATAGCTACAAATTCTAAACAAAATCTAAATATGAGACTGTAAGGTAATACACAAAAATGAGAGCTGTATTATATTGGATGGGTGGGTAATTTCATTCTCTTACCTTCCTATTTTTCACATTTTTTAGAATTTATATGCAAAATGCAAAAATGTTTTGGGGAGGATATGTGCTATGGTGAGTGCTGTGAAGTGTGTAAAACCTGGCGATAAAATGTACCCCTGGGGATAAAAATACATTTTATGTTTATAAAAAAAATTAAAAAAAAAAAAAAAATCTCTGTCTATTGCAAAGCCTTTGTGATATCTACTTCAGTACTTTGCTACATCTGCTTTTTCAAAACAGAGGCACTGAATATCCATATTTAGTGTCACAGTACCACTATATCCTTTAATGTAGAAATTTAATTAATTAATTAATCAAATGGGCTCCATGTCCAGTGTGGAGCCCAAACACGGGGCTCAGTCTCACAAATGTGAGATTAAGACCTGAGTGGAGATCAAGAGTCAGACACTTGACTGATAGAGTCACCCAGGTGCCCCGATATAGAAATTTCAAAGTAAAATGTACTTATATAAAAAGTACCAGCAACTTAAAAAAAAGCACTCGTGTCACCCCACAATGATTTCGATCCAAGAACAATGTTAAGGTAAACATTTTCATCATCTTTATCACCCAACTGAAGCCAGTTTTGGGAGACTCTAGAATTCTTCTACTAACCTTGGAATAGAGATGGTTGTATGCTGTTGACATACTGGAATGCATTCTTGAAGAAGACCAGCACAGTGGAATAAACCACTTGGTTTTTATATTTTGCATGAGCTTCATTATCAAAGTTGTTCATGTATCTGCAGAGATCTTTCATTCTGTGCAAAATATCACCATAGCTTCTGAAAGATGAAGGATGATAAAAATTATTTAATTACTCTGGGCTTTTCAGCAAAAGGTCTAGAGAAAAGCCCCAACAGAAGCGTGACATTTACCAAATGTGGCTGGAGGCATGTGTAATTCCCCCTCTGAATTAGAGCAGTGATCAGAACACTCTCTCAGGACACAGACATGACAGAGTAGCTACTCTTTCCTCTGAATGCCAAGGAGTGCTTCAAGCTCAACAGCATCTTACAAGTTCATACTTCTGTTGGGAATCTTTAAATAAAATGAAAACCACCCTCTTTTGCACAGATACCAAGGTTACAAGAGTTGCCCAAAGAAAACTGTATCTATACATTATATGCTTTTTAAGAAAGTGTTTTTGTTTTTAAAAATCCTGAGATTACAGTATCAGAAGGCTTGCTAAGCAATTCTAGAAATGAACAATTTTTTACCGTCTTCCTTTATCCATCTGCCATTCACATCTCATTCCAACAACATTTAAAATCTTAAACAACCTCTCCCAAGGGTCCACAATCTGCGATGATTTTTCAGTCAGCCCTTCTATTATGTACTTCTGAGAGCTCCGTTTGCTGGGTGACATTAAATCAGCCACTTCTTGGGCACCTGGGAAATGAGAAAAAAGAGGCCTACGATTAATCTTACTATTTACTAGGTATGCAGTACTGGAGAGAGAAAGAGAGTCTGAATCCCTATTCAAGAGGCAGGAGCACAGAATCCCAACACATCGTGTGTTTTGTTGAAGGACCCACAGCCGGCCACTGGAACAGCAAAAAATGCCCTTTGAGCTTTGGTACGTGTATGAAGCTCAGGACATTAACATTATGATTCAGCAAGTTGACTGTTTCAGTCAAAGCGCAAAACTGATTCCAGAAAAGTCTCATTTCTTACCTGTGGTACTTTTTTCCAGGAACCATCTTTTAGAACACTATCACACTGGTACGCATCCAGAGAATAATCACAATGATGAGGGATTTTTGAGTTTGCAACTTACTAACATCTGTATAAATAAAACTGCAGGATATTCTCACTTACCTTGATGCTGACTCTCTGTTTGAGTAGATCTAGTGACATAATTGATATAAAATTCAGCTGCTTTGTTCAAGTACTTATATAATAAATTGGCAGGCAATCGGACATCATGGTTGTTAATTATTAGAGGAAGGACATCGCAAACTGTCGAAGCGGAAAAATAAGAAAAAAAAATTCAGTTGTTGTCTACCCTACAATTCTGATAGAAATGAAATTATTTTAGAGTTCATTTAATGTAGTACCTAAAATATATAGGGAAAAAAAACACATTTATGGCACATTTATTTAAAAATTGCAGTGCACAGGGACGCTAGTGGATGGAGTGAGCAAGGAACTACACAAGCAGATTTTACATTACGGTTGAGGGTCTAGTTCTTACACTGGGTGACAATTCAGATGTTTATTATTATGCCGCATACTTGAATATATTCTTTCAGGGGTATCAAATGTTATTTATTTGCCAGAGAGAGAGAGAGAGCCCACAAGCACCGGGGAGGGGCAGAGGTGGCAGTCTCCCTGCTGAGCAAGGAGCCTGATGTGGGACTTGATCCCAGGACTCTGGGATCATGACCTGAGCCGAAGGTAAACGCTTAACTGACTGAGTCACCCAGGAGTCCCTAGAAGTTGTTTAAATGCTTTTTGGACTAAAAAAATAAAGAAGGATTTAAATTTCATAATATGAAAAGTTCCTTTGCTTTCCACGAATGATCTTATCCCCGAAATGATACTTACTCAGCATATTCCTACATAAGGACTTAATACAAAATACAATTTTTCTTACCAAATAATTTTCTAAAGCAGTTAACAGGAGATTCTTGCTCTTCAATAGTTTCAGCCTCTAATAATGCTTCCCCAAGGCCAACCTGTTTCAAAATAGAGTAAATCATTTAAATGTGTTACAGTTTAAGATGTCAGAATTACATAAAGAATGGCTTTTTATATTTACCAAACAGTTTGTATATGCAAACTTCCCCAAGAAACAAATATTCTCATTTTAAGGACTAGAAAACAAAATACATCAGCAACACAGCCCAGAAGGAAACCCTAATTTAACCTGACCACTGACTACTTTGTCTTGGTTATTCTCCTCCGAACTAGCAAAATTAAAATGCTATCAAAATGTCTACAGAAACTTAAAGGAACCACTGGAACTAGTTAGAATGAAAAAGGAGAGGTAGAGATTTTCTACAAAATGTTGAAATTAACTGTACTCTCTACATCGAGATGTACTATGTTGACAAACCTTACCACTTTCAAGAGTTGTCAGGAGTAGCCAGTCATTCAGCCTACGCTAGGCTGGACACAACTGTGACTTTTAAGGCCACCTTTCCTTTCCTTTCTACCACGGATTCCCTAGCAGAGTAGAAAGTAGGCTTATCAAAATCCACCCAGACATCCGCATTATCTTCCTTGGGATCATTTGGCCATGCACAGGGCAGGGGTAAAACAATGGAAAAGATGATATAACACAAAAAGCGAATAGTTGAGTAACCATCAAGGAATGTATTGGGTTGAAGAGCATCCTCCCAAAATTCATGTTTACTCAAGAGTCTCAGAATGTGACTCTACATATATTTGATCTTATTAAAAAAAGTAAGGTCTTTTTAGATGCAATGAGTTAAAAAGAGGGCACAATGGGTTAGGGCAAACCCTAAATCCAATGACGATAATCCTTACACGATCATGTAAAGACACAGGAACACAGACAGCCAGGGAAGAAAGCCATGTGACAGCAGAGGAGAAAACTGGAATGATGTAGCTGTTAAGCTGAAGAATGACAAAGATTGGTGGTGACCACCAGCAGCCAGGGAGAGGTAGAAAGGATTTTTCCCTAGAGCCTTTAGAGGGAGCATGGCTCTACGCACACCTTGCTTTCGGAATTTCAGCTTCCAGAACTGTGAGGGAATAAATTTTGGTTGTTTTAAGCCACTCAGTTTTCTGGTACTTTGTTACAGCAGCCCTAGGAAACTAATCGAGGGAGGTACAGAATATGTCAACTGGGGCCAGAAGCTTGAAAGATAAGTGTGGATAAGAATAAACAGTAGAGTTTGAATTAACAGAGTTAATGACACATATTTAAAACTCAGTTTCCTCATCTGTGAAGTGGAACACTGTCTACCTCAAGAGGTCCAGGGAATATGGAAGGAGATGCCTGCCAATAGCACTCAACAGTTATTACAGATAGAAGGAATAGGGGGGAAAGCACATGAAGAACCATGCCTGTGAATACTACAGACTACGGCGCTCAGTTAAATTCAAACATTGTTGACCATAATGTAAGAGGATTTTTTAAAAAGATTTATTTATTTGGGAAGAAAGCATGCACAGGCAGGTGGGGGTGGGCGCAGACGGAGAGGAAGAAACAAAGAATCTCAAGAGGACTCCATGCTGAGCTGCGAGCCTGATGTGGGGCTCCGTCTCACCATACTGAGGTCACAACCTAAGCCAAAACCAAGAGTCGAACGCTCAACTGACTGTGCCACCCAGCCACTTCTGAAATAGGATTTAAAAAAAAATCTTACTGTACTTTACAGATTGCAAATAAATAGCACAGTCAAACTTGGTCACTGTTTCCCTTACACTGACGGGACAACTTCTGGAAATTTACAAAGTCTGATGACAGTGAAATCCTTTTAGCTTTACTGATGAAGATTCCTTGATTCAAGTTCAATCTTACCTAGTGTTCTTCAGCTTTAGCATATTTAGATATTCTAAATATTTAGAAATTTAGAATTTCTGCTTTAGAGTAATACACACTAGAGCTTCTAACCGAACTGATGAATGTGTTGATCGATTTTATTTTCTCTTGAGAAAAAGGAAAGGGTCAAGTCATACCCCATGCTGCACCACTGTCTCAGGGAAGCGTCTCAAAAGGAGAAGCAACATTTCCGATCGTTCCAATGTGTTGAAGCATTGTTCCGTAACCTTTAGTAACATTTCGCACTGGACCCGACCAGGGAGAGTTTCAAACAAACCTGTACATAACACATTTTATTTTTAAAAATTTCTTTTGGAAAGAAAATCCTGAAGCTACAGTGGAAATAAGGCATTTTCATGTATAGAACAGTAAGTCTACATTTAGAATCACTGTTTGAGTTTTATCTACAACCTAGAAGAGGCTTTTGGCTCAGATGGTACTGGACACAGATGTTTGCTGAATGATCCTTTCAGGATCATTTGGAGGCCTTATTTGGGTCCAGAAGGTAAGAATGGTGTAGGTGAAGGGTCATAACAGTGCTTGCTGTTGGCTGAGATAAAGAGGATGCATTTGTTTAAGTTGAAATGACCTAAATCACCTACTCTTTCATCCAGAATTTGAAATCTTTGATTGGCTATCACAACCAACACAGACTGAAGGTTAATGGAAAAGGTCATAAGTCACTAAAAGTTTCTCTCCTGTTTTGTGGAGATCTGCCTAATCTACAGATGCTTTCTGATAACTATAAAATCTGTTAAAAATATATTCGATTCTCTGGGCTAACTGATAAATCTACACTCTTTAAGGGTGCTTAGAGGTTTCTAAGCAAATGCTCAAGGGACCAAGTGACATCATTTGTACAGACTTTGGGTACCAATACCACAGATGTTGAGTTTTCTATGAAATTCCTATATATAAATTAGTGTTCCAGAAACAGTAATTTATACACCATTATCATTCTATTCTTACTTCTTAAAAATTGGGTTTGTTTATCCTGTGAGTCGTTCCTTAATGCTGAAGTAATAATGCTGATTTCTCTCCACACCACCGGCTGATCTGGGAAATTCACAAACCTATTTTAAAATGAATGCATTAAATTAAAATGTCAGATTCTATATAGTATTACAAAAAGAAAAGAGCATTAGCATATGGAGAAATACACACTTTTCTTTACTACAAGTGAACATGTTGATGTACTAAAACGAGCCAAAATAAAGATATAAAAATAAAAACTAAGGAAAATGAGGTTAATCACAAAAGTTTTTAGAGTTTTTTTATAAGTGAAAAGACAAATGAGCATAATATATAAAGCACTCCTAAATATGAACGAGAAAACAAATCCTACCCAAAGAAAAGAATACAAACAGCCAAAGAGAACACTTGAAAAGACAGTCTTACCAGTAATACAATGAACACAAATTTTTAAAAAATAGTAAGATACCACTTTCTATCACATTGGCAAAAATTAAAATCTGATAGACTGATAATATGAATGCTAGCACATATGTGGGAAAATGGGCACTCTTATACACGGCTAGTAGAAATGTAAATCGGAATAGTATTTTTTAGAGTAATTTGATAGTGTATTGTGTAATATCCTTGACTGTCAAAATCAATGTTTAAGAATCTACTCTATAGAAAAATACTAAAATACGGGTACATATTTGCTTACTGATACTCTGAATATAATCTCAAATAATTGGAAATACCTCAATGTCCGCCAGTATTATGAAATGCTATGCAAATATGAAAAAGAAGAGTTCCACATACTGAAAAAAAAAGGCATCCCTCCATGACAGAGGGTGAAGAAAGCAAGCTGCAGCGTGACGTATGTAGTATGATTTCCCTTCCCCACAAAAACCAACCTATACGTATTCTACTGTGCATACATGCACACACAGACACAAGAAACTCAACTCCGGTCGAGTCGGAGGGACTCGGACTTGTTATTCTCTATGCATCAGTACTGTCTGAACTGCAAGGGTACCGACTATTTCTAAAGTAAAATAAATTACTGGAAAGAAAAGTTTCAGCAGGCATCAAACACTGGGAGCCTTCTCTGCAGGAGGCCTGCCAGCCGTTAACGGAGGGCCCGGACGCAACAAAGTGAGCCGCAGATACCGGAGCTACAGATGCACTGGGAGGTCCTCCCCGCTCCGCTTGCACACATACACACACAGAGCCTCGCGCGAGACCCAAGGCCCGCGGGCCGCACTCACATGTCGTACAGCAGTCTCCCCGCGGTGGCGGTCCTCTCAGCGTTCCGCTCGATGGTGTACATCTCGTACTGCAACACAGATGGCCGCGAGGGTCACGACCTCCGCAAGGGGCGCAGCCTAGCTCACCGCCCGCCGCGCCAGCCGGCCTCTGTCGAGCTCCCCTAACCCGGGAGGGCCGGAGAGCCCAGCATCACCCGGGGGCCCGGGGCCGCGGGGCTCAGGAGTGCGACCCTCGGGCTCACTGACGATCCTTCGGTCCCCAAGACAGGGAGAATAACGTCTCCGCAGCAGCAGGCACTAAACGAATGGCTGCCACGCTCATGAACGAGCGGAGAACGGCCTTTCCGCGGGGCGATGCAGCGCCGCCCGGCCACCGAATAGCAGACACCCCCAGTCTCCAGCCGCCCGGACCTCAGGCGGGGTCCGCTGGGTCTCAGGGTGCGGGCCCCGCGGGGGAGAAGGCGTGCGAGGGGTGGCGGAGAGCGGGGCGCGGGAGGTGGGGAGACGTGGGAAGGCAGGGGTCGGGGTGGGCCGGACTGGAGGCGGCCGCCCCCAAGGCGGGAAGGGCTGGCGACCAGGGCGGCCCCAGAGCGGCGACGCGCTCACACCTCCACGGAGGCAGCCGCGCGCGCGGGCCGGACCTCACCTGGATGTTAAAGTCGGTGGGGTAGAGGCTGCGGGCTGTAATCAGCCAAGCCTTGGCTGCCCACAGGTCCTGCTGCACCAGCTCCCGGGCTCGCTGCACCAGGAACTCGCAGTCACCCTGGGCCGACATGACCCGGGAGGCGTCGGGCTGCAGGCAGCGGAGGTCGTTTACCTTCCGGCTCTGGAGACGCCGCCGCCGCCGCTGCCGCGGGAGAGGCTTCTGCGCATGTCGGGGTTGGCCGATCCGGATAAGTGTTCCGTGTTTTGCGAGCTGCCTCCTCCGGTCCGCCCCCTGTAACCGTCCAGCCCCTTCCTCTTTGGAGGACCTAGTGTTTTGGTACGGACTTTTCCAGGTCACCTCCAAAATGTGGAGAAGTGGATTCCCACTCTTGCGGGCTCCAGCGTGAGCGTCGTCCAGTCAGGGAGCATGCGCGGGAGCCGGTACTCACCGCGCTGCCTCTGCCGGTGCTTCCATCCTACTGGAGACCTGCGGGTAGACGGTCCGTGGGTGACCTCGAGGTCTGGTACCCCGGACCAGGCTGGGAAGAAGTTTGAGAGGAAAAAGCAGAGGGCGGCCTCGGAGGCAGTGGGAAGGAGCGCGCAGACCTCCCTCGGCCTGGCCGCAGTTGAGGAACCTGTCCCTGGGTCGTTGCCCAGAATTGGGTTTATGGGAAAAAGTCTGAGTCCAGATTAGGGGCCAAGGCTCAGAGGGCCATGGTATATGCCTAGCGTTCGTTCTGGTGCATTTCATCTTTTCTAAGTATGTCCGTATTATATTGTTGCTTCTTTATTTGCTGATTTCTGCAACAAACATTGAGCTCTTGCAGTAATTAGCACGTGGAAAGTGCTTTGCTGCATGCAGTGGGAACGACAAAGGTTGTTCTGTCCCAGCAGGGGTTTTACAATGATATGGACATGTGGCCTGCAGGAAAATAGGCCATTTTAATGATCTCTTCCCATCAATCAGTATCATATTCACCGACACTCCAGATTTGTTTTCCATTTGAGAGAAGGAGAACAAAAGAGTCCCACTGCTTTGGTGAAGGGGAGGCTGCATCTGAGAGCCGGAGTAGCAATACTTACCTGCCTACTAAAAAGAATGTACCAAAATGTGGATTCATTAGTTTTCAAGCCAAGTTCTATATACAGAAAGTTTTAGCAAGTTCTGTTTACCACGGGTATCTTCGATATATTTGATTTAAAGCCAAGAGATTAAGGATTCAAAGCTGGATTGTTTTAAAAATAGAAATTACTAGGTACTTATATACATGAATAACTATATTTTAAGTAAGTATGAATATATACATTACTATTCATGGGCATATGTAAGGTCTAATATATTCTTACTAATTGTGATAATTTATAAATACATGATCTTCAAGTTAATGGTGAGTTAGTATGCTAACTTTAGACATTAAGTGCCAAGAAGGGCAGGCACAAAGAAGCAGTATAAAGCACCACTGCTATCAAATCCAAGCTCTTTTATTTTGCTATTTAGTTTATGGTACCATTCTAAAAATAGCACTTTTAATTATCTTCCCCTTTACTCAAAATTTTTAAGGGTTTTATTTATTTATTTGGGAGAAAGTGAGAGTGAGAGAGAGAGAGAGAGCATGATATGGGGGAGGATCAGAGGGAGAAGCAGACCCCCAGCTAAGCAAGGAGCCCGATGTGGGGCTCTGTCCTGGGACTCTGGGATCATGACCTGGGCCAAAGGCAGATGCTTAACTGTCTGAGTCACCCAGGCACCCCTTTTACTCAAAATTTTTTAAAAATTTGATTTTGTTTCATTAGTCACCCAGAAGATATCTTACAATGATATTTTACATTATTGTATCAGTCATTCTGTGATCTATTTGTTGTGTACTTGAAGCATTCTCAAGTCATTTAGTATCAGTCATTCTGTGATCTATTTGTTTTGTACTTGAGGAAGCATTCTTGTTTCAAAGAGGCTGTTTAATGTCTCCTGATTGATTATGCACAGCAATAGCCTAATTGTGCCATCGCTTTGTAGGCCAGGATTGCCCAGTGACAGAATTCTTTTGGCTTTGTAGAAGGTAGAAAATTGAACTTTAACAACTCAGGGTAATTTTTATTTTATACAGGTCATAAAAACAGCTGGCTTAAATTTTTTTCATTATTTAATTTTAATAAAGTGTTATGTAAGGATTTTTGGGTGGCAAAAACGACTGATTTGGTTTTTAAACTTTATGTTTTGGGTCTGGAGTTACCAAAACAAAATCCAAAGCGAAATTGTACACTTGTCTCTAAGTATTTAGTTCTCTAGTGTTCTTTTCGGTAACAGTTGTAAATTAATATTTTCAATCTAGGGGCTAAATAAAGGAACTTTGGTTAGGTGCCAACCAGTTGAAATTGCCTCTTGCTTTTTGCTAGAATACCATGTAAGATTTGTAGCTATTTTCTTGCCAGCTTCTTAATTTTGAAAGGTGTCCAGCTAAACATTTCTCCTAGGATGTCACGCTGGCTGTCACGCTTCCTTTCTGGAAGTACAGAAAGGAGGTGGTACCACACAAAGGGAATTACCATCTTCTGGCCTCTTTACTGTGATCCTAAAGCCTAAGAATCTGAGCTCCTGACCCATGTTCTCCGCCACAACTTCTTCTTCTTTTTCTTTTTTTTTTTTTAGAGAGCGAGCACAGGAGAATTAGAGGGAGAAGCAGACTCCTGCCGAACAGAGAGCCTGACATGGGACTCGATCCCAGGATCCTGGGATCATGACCTCAGCCGAAGGCAGACGCTTAACCCACTGAGCCACCCAGGCTCCCCTCTCTGCCACAACTACTAAACCATGCAAAATGCCCAGCATCCAGCCTGAAGCTCCCTAAACTCAGGTCAGTGACTTGTATTAAACTCTATGTTGCTCTTTAAATTTCCATCTCGAAAACTTCAGATTCACAAATGCAACCTGGTAATTTGCCTGCACTTGGTTCTTTTCAGCAATTTCCTCATTTCTCTTCTGGACTTTAGCTCCACAAATTTCTATTTCCTTGACACCTACATTCTTCTAGTATATTTGACTCCTCCTGGACCTCCTCCTTTCCTGCTATTAGAGCCTGTGCTCTGATACGCAGCACGTTCAAGGTCTGTGCATCCTTATCCCACCACTGTAACCACTCTTCAAGTTACCAACCCTGGATCCAGCCCACGTGCATCTTCCTAGATGGTACAGCTTGAAATAGGTGCAATTAATGTATGTTTGGCGAATGCAGAGGATGCCAAGTTCTGCTGGTCACTAGCACACACAGGCGCAGATTGATGCTGCACCAAATTCTAGGGCTTAGTATCAGTTTGGGCCCTCAACTACTCCCACTTCCCATTCTTTCACCAGCTGTTTGAGGGCTTTGTCATTTTTCTCAAGCACTCATACTCTTTACCTTGAGCAGATGATTTTGCCTTTAACGGAGAAGATTGAGGCCACCAGGCCTTACTCAACCTCCTTCAGTTTTGGAACCATGGCCCTATTTATGGTTCAAGACCAAACAGGTCACAAGGTACATATTTTTAAAACCCTCTGATGGTTTCCAACTGTGCGATACCTGACTTGTAGGCATGGCTCTGCCTTATCTTTTGCTGCCACCGCCCCCTCCCCGCCACCAAAACTTCTTTCAGATCTTCCCTGTGTTGTGTTCTCCCTCATCTCCAGGCATTCACGTAGGCTGTCATTTTTGCTCTGCTCAGAACACTCCCTACTGCTATCATGGTGGGAATTAATTCTTTGTGTCTCAGATAACACTTCCCTGACTCACCCCTCCTTGGTCATTGCCCTTACACTGTTTTATAACTGATGGTTTATCACACATTATGCTCCATTAGATCAGAGGCGAGTCTCATGCTATCACTGTCTCGGCCCCTAAGATATGCCAGACATGTATTAATAGTAGACTTTTAATAAAATTTAGGTGAGTTTTGAATTTTTTTCACCCTTTGCTTATCAGTTTGCCTAAACCTGAGATTTCATTCCCTCTGGTTTCAGAAGATAGAGGGTCCCCTTTGTTCAAGGCCAAAATCTTCACCTGTGCTCCAAATCCTGTAGGCTTGGCTTCCTCAGAAAAATCTGCCTAATCAGTTATCCTCACATCTACAGTGTACGTCTGTTTCTACGGATTCCTGCCAGCAGAGGACGTGTTTTGGGGGTCTGCTGCTGCAGCTTCCCCTTGTTCCTAGTAGATGTTGTACGCCCTGCACTGTTCCCCTCTCCCACTCCGCACACCTGTCCCCTACTGCTGTAAGGGTTGCTAACTGCCCATAGCTCTGCCCTTCTGTAGAGGATGCCTTCAGCTTCCTTCAAAAGTTGGCCATTCCCAAGGAGTGATACAGGGTATGCAAGGTAGTGCCCTTGCCTCAAAGGGAAGAAATCTATGGCATAGTTTATGTTCAGGGCAAGTTTGTCTGAGACCACATCTATGTTCAGCTCTTTCCCCTTCCCTATCCTGCTTCCTTCCCTTAGGGGCTTTTCTTGAAGGACACTCCCTAAATAAATCGAGCATTCCCAAATCCCTGTCTCAGGCATTTCTAGGTAACCCAGGTCAGGCAATAATTACTACTGGACATGGGAGCACTATGAGGTACCCGATAAATCCTCTGGGTTCTAGATGTAGTCCCTTTGCATCATTTGTGTAGCAGCAACCATTTTCCCTTGGGAAGTAGGATCAATGATCTAATACAGTAATCCCTTTCTTTTGTGCCTGTTGGTTCAGTGGGGCAAGGAGCACCAAATGGTCTTATTTCTGATTCAGTGGAACCCTGTGTTCCCTGGTGGTTACCCTCCTCTCTTTGGAATAGGACTTCCAAATTCTCAGGGCACAAGATTTAAGGGGAACTGTTCAAAAAAATTCCACCAGTGGATTATTGGGTATATTTTGAGGGACCACTCTCTTGTCCCACCCTTTCTTGGTTTAGAGCATATCCTGTGTCAATAGCACACTTCCCCAACCTCATAGGATGTGGTTTAGTTGACACCCTCATTAAGCCTCCAGGAGACCATATTCCACCATTCTGTCAGGCCACCTACTTCTGGGTGATGGGAAGAGAGTAAGACCAGTGAGTGCACTGGGTCTTTTCCCTCTGCCACATTTCTTTTGCCATCGAATGAGTTACTGGGCCTGAAATGGTATTGTATGGCATACAGTGGTGATGAATAAGGTGTTCTGTAAGTGCGTGAATGGTGGAACGGGCAGAAT